TGTGTTGCAACAACGACGCACACAGAACTGTCAGTTGTCCCACGAAACCAAGGGGAAATCCCTTCCGAAAAAGTGAGCACCGCCGCGAGTGATACGGYTGTACTCTCGACGCCTTCGAAACCGGTCGCTTCACGAGCGACCTCCCTTAGTTCCGAGGCACATGCAAAAGTCGTAAGTCCTCTTYTTTATTCTTTCGAGGACGATGCTGMCCGACTTGTTCAATCGCTGGGTTCTCTCGCTCAAGGACAAGGTGTGTGCGCGGTTTCTTCTCCGTCCGGCAGCGGCGACAATTTATTGTCTTCAAGTGGCTCTTCAAGGGATTCGGAACGCGAGTTCAACGTAAAGGTCTTGGACTCGTTATCGCCCAAGGATTTTGCATGGCTTCCTCTCCCTTGACACTGGTGCCCTGCCGCCGAAAAGATGCATCTATCGCATGAGCGAGGAAGAGCCTGCGGTTCTCCGCACGCAACTCGATGACTTGTTGGACAAGGGTTGGATCCTCCCTAGTAGCTCACCATATGGTGTGCACCTTCTCTTCGTATGGAAGAAGAAGAAGGATATCCGCTTATGCATTGACTACCACAAGCTGAACGTGCAAACCGTCAAGAATGCAGGGCCTCTTCCTCGTATCAACGATCTTCTTGAGCGTTTGGGTGGTGCAAAATATTTTTCGAAGTTGGATTTGAAGTCCGACTATCATCAGATTTCGATACGCCCGCAAGATCGCTACAAATCCGCGTTTAAAACGCGGTATGGGCACTTTGAGTGGGTTGTCATGCCTTTTGGCCTCACCAATGCCCCGACGACCTTTCAAGCGACGATGACCAACGAGTTTCACGCAATGCTAAAACGGTTTATGCGGGTCGACTTGGATGACATTCTCGTATATAGTCGAACCTTGGAGGATCACCTTGAGCACCTTCGACGTGTGTTGGAGACGCTCCGTCGCGCCAAGTTCAAGGCCAACCACGACAAGTGCAAATTCTTACGTCAAGAGTTGAAATACTTGGGCCATTTGGTCACACTGGATGATATTAGTCCATTATTGGACAAGATTCAAGCCGTCCAAGAGTGGCCGGAGCCGAAGAATATCACGGATGTCCGTTTGTTTCTCGGCCTAGCCAGCTACTATCAACACTTTATTAAAGTCTATTCGAAAATCGCGACTAATTTGACCAAGCTTCAATGCGAGGACCGACCGTTCGACTTCGACGATGATGCGCAGGCTTCCTTTGCGGCCCTTAAAGCCACCCTGCTATCCGCGAAGGTTTTATGCATCTACGACCCGCTTTTGCCGACGCGTGTCACTACCGATGCGCCTGACTATGGCATTGGTGTCATCCTGGAGCAAAACGATGGCGTGGACTGGCACCCGGTCGAGTACTTGAGTAAGAAGGTGCCCGCCGTGCACTCGATTGACGGCACACGAAAGAAGGAGATATTGGTCTTCGTACACGCGCTTAAGCGGTGGCAGGATTTTCTTCTTGGTCGAAGTCAATTCCGATGGGTAACGGACAATAATCAGTTGGTCTTCTACAAGACCCAAGACACTGTGAATAGTACCATCGCTCGTTGGATGGCTTTCATTGACCAGGTTGACTTCTTCCCCGATGACATTCCGAGAAAGTCAAACCGTTTTGTGAGCGCCCTTTCACGACGCCCGTACCTTTGTATCGCGGTGTACTCGACATTCGACGTTGACGATGACTTGCAGGACAGCTTCATCAGCGGCTCCCAAGTCGACCTCAAGTTTCGTGACAAGTATGCAAATTGCTCCTCTCAAAACCCGGCGCCATGGCATCATCGGATCCAAGAGGGTTATTTGCGGGTCCACTCGCTGGGTAAGGATCTTCTTTGCATGCCAGGTGATCCACACTTGCGTACGCGACTTCTTGGCGAGTTCCACGATGCTCCCGCCACGAAACACTTTGGAGTCAATCGTACGATTGGCCGACTTCGCGAGCGCTTTTGGTGGGCCGGCCTTCTCGACGACGTCACATGCTATTGCGAGTCATGCGAGGTTTGCCGGTGTTGCAAATCCCGCAACCATCGTCCGTACGGCGAGTTGCGACCACTATTGGTCCCCCTAGGACGACGGGAATCGATTGCCATGGACATCACCGGGCCGTTCCCCAAAGCACAAGACTGGTGTGGATGAGATTCTCATGGTGGTCGATCGACTCACCAAGTTCGCCATGTTTTTGCCTTGTTGCTATCATGCCAAGGCATCGGAATTGGCCGGGGTTCTTTACGCCGGTTGGATTCGTACCAAAGGTTACCCYAAGGAGATCGTTTGCGACCACGACACTCGGTTCATGTTAARGTTTTGATTGGCGCTCATCAAACGATGGGKCTCATCTCTCAAGCCGAGTTCGGCTCGCCACCCACAAACCGATGGCCAAACGGAGAGGGCGCATCAAACCGCACATGTTCTTCTTCACACTCTAATCCGTCCCGACCAAAAGGATTGGGTTGAGGAGCTGTCGGACGTCGAGTTGGCTTACAACTCGTCCATTCATCAGGCTATCGGGATGTCACCCTTTGAGTTCAAGCATGGCTCGCCAATCACATCACCGTTGAATACAGTCATCCCATGGACGACGGAGAGCGACGACCACATTATCTTCATCAGACGGATGCACGAGCTCCTTGTCAAGGCACGCGACCAAATGTCGAAGACGCAGCAACGCATGAGCCGACAAGCCAATCACCAGCATCTTCCATGTCTGTTCCACGTCGTCAACCTCGTTTGCGTCTCCGCCATGGAATTTAGCCTCGAACAAGATATCTCTCGCAAGCTCCTTTCGAAATGGATGGGGCCTTGCCGCATTGTAGCACCCGTTGGTGAGGCACCTGAAGGACCTTCATTTGTCATTCATGTGCCCGCCCACTTGCCCGTCTACCCAGTCTTTCATTGTTCAAAGTTGGCTCTTTTCGTTTCAACAAAATGCGACGACTTTCCTGGGCGACGATCGCAAGACCCACCCTCCATGGACGGTTTTCAGGAGGTAAGTGACATCACCTCGCATCGGCACTACGACACCAAGCCGGCGGAGTACTTAGTACACATTTCTTATTGTAGCCATACGGCTGACTGGTGTTTGGCCCGTGCGGAACTTCCAACCACACCTCCCGATGTCCTCGCACGTTACAAACACAAGCAGCAAGGCAAGCTGGTACCTTCGACTCCACGCCGTCCTCGCGTCCAGGTTCCACCATCGGATTGTTAGCTTCGCACTCGACCCGACTTGACTTCATAAGCAAGGGGGGGGGGTGTTACATGCCGAGCCTGCACACGGGCCCCATTTTGGGGGCCCGACGGTTGCTGGGGACCCCAGGCCACACGCCCCTCAGATGCGCACCCTGGAGGCCCACAACCGGCCTTAGGGCCGCAGGTTTCAGTTTGTGGCAGCATTTATTTACTTATTTATTTATTTATTTATTTGCTGTCCTATTTTTGTCTATTCAGTCGTCGTTTTGGACGTGCAGTTCGTTCGAACAGACCTTCGGTCTTTTCGGACAAAGGCCACGTTGTTGGCCTGGTACGAAAATAGGCACCCTGTTGGGCCAGGTCCGTTTGCATCCAGTAACGGGCGTCCCTGCTGCTTCAGCAGGGAGGGTCTGGACTTCAGGTCGGGACCCAGACCCAGTAGGCCACGTTTCGGCCAAAGTCCAGAGGCACACGGAGGCACACCGGCCAGGCTCAGCGCTACTATGGTTGGGCCATGCCTGGGCAGACATCCAGTTCAAGTAGCTCACTTCTTGGGCGACACGCTGCCGGAGCAGCGCTACAGCGCTACGCTGGAGGTAGATGTAGTCATGTAGGTAGGGAGTGAGGCGGAGGCCATACCAGCGTCGGCGGAGATCCTACCTGGGCGCCATAGCTGGTCTTCGTGCAAGCGCACCTGCAGCACAGAGTATATGTGCGGCTGCAGTTAGTACATGGCGGCAGTTACTTGCAGGTGAGATAGCAAGGAGGACGACGTCTTCTTCTTCTTCTCTCCCCCTCCATCTCTCCTCCTCCCTCCTTCTTCTTCTTTCAGAGAAAGAGAGCTCAAGGGGCAAGCACAGCGAAAACACTGTAAAAAAAACACGGAGAGAGAACAAATGTGAAATGTAATCCGATACAACCTGGTTATTTATCCTCCGCCAACATCGTGTACATGCGCAAATCCTCGACGCGTTTCGACCCGGGCGCATACCAGGTCTCTTCAGGAGGTAACAACCCTCCATCCTCAGCGAGGGTATGGCATCAACAACGTTGCTACAGCCAACAGTTCCTACCA